TATGCATGTGTGTATGTACATTACACATGTAAATAAATTTTTTCTTCTATTAATCTCTTGTTTAATTGGCAGGCCCCAGTTACTAAACCTAAGAGGGTAAGGAAAAGGTTTTCCTCCCCTGTACCTCAAATGCTGCTTCTCTGTTGCTAAAACAATACCTGAGAGAACACCTTTTCACCAAGGTCCTGTTTAGACCTTTAAACAACCATTAAGGATAGTGATGGGGCTGGGCACGGTGGCTCACGCCTGTAATCCTAGCACTCTAGGAGGCTGAGGCTGGTGGATTGTTTTAGGTCAGGAGTTCAAGACCAGCCTGAGCAAGAGCGAGACCCCATCTCTACTAAAAATAGAAAAAGAAAGTAGCTGGACAACTAAAAATACGTAGAAAAATTAGCCGGGCATGGTGGCGCATACCTGTAGTCCCCAGGTACTCGGGAGGCTGAGGCAGAAGGATTGCTCAAGCCCTGGAGTAAGATGGTGATGGGACTTTCAGATCTGCTCTCCTTGGGCACAGCCCTAACTAGGTCCTTCTCATGGGTCTCTGCTTTATGCAGTAATTCCCCCCTGCTCTGTGCTTATTCCCCAGTGGCTTATCTCACTGTGTTTTTAGAGGTCTGTTACGGGGTAACACATTTCTTTACATTCTCAGCCTTCCTGGAAAACTCCAGGGACATGCTTTTTCTGTACCTAGCCATATAGCCCTCTGCCCTACTTATCCCAGTATATCCTGTTACCTCTTACTGGTGAAGAGAATTAAAGATCTCAGGTGTGCATTCCCTGAACTTCTCTCCCACTTACACAAACTCACCTATATCTATACCCATCCTACCCTTTTCTTCATAGGAAGAGCTATCCCACCTCTTAGCAAGAGTATAATATCTCATTTCTCATGTGCATTTTTTATTTTTATGAGACAAGGTCTCGCTCTGTTGCCCAGGCTAGAGTGCAGTGGCATCATCCTATCTTACTGCACCCTCAAACTCCTGGGCTTGAAGCAAGCAATCCTCCTGCTTCAACCTCCCAAGTAGCTGGGACTACAGGCACGTGCTACCACTCCTGGCTAATTTCTATTATTTTGTAGAGACAGGATCTCGCTCTTGCTCAGGCTGGTCTTGCAATCCTGACCTCAAGCAGTCCTCCTGCCTCAGCCTCCAAAAGTGCTAGGATTACAGGTCTGAGCCACCACCAGCCTTAGTATGCATTTTTACTACTTGTTGTTAAATGATTTTTTTATGTTTATTCTTTGTATTTTTTATGGCTTGTCTGTCCTTTGTCAGTATTTCTTATGGGATGTTTATTTTTTCCTCACTTAGAATAAAAACAGTACAAGATATCCATTGTAAAGTGATTTATGATGTATCCATGCATTTTTTTTTTTTTTTTTTTTTTTTTTCCCCCCTTTAAGAGACACGGTCTTGTTCTGCCCCCTCCATACTGGAGTGCAGTGGCCTGATCATAGCTCACTGCAGCTTTGGGCTCGTGCGATGCTCCTCCCTCAGCTTCCCAAGTAGCTGAGACTACAGGCACGCACTACCACACCCAGTTCATTTTTAAATTTTTTGTAGATGAAGTCTCACTATGTTGCCCAGGCTGGTCTTGAACTCCTGTCGTCAGACTCTTCTGCCTCCACCTCCCTGTGCCCGGCTCCACTTTGATTTCTTTAGTTATTAAAAATATTAACAAAGTTATTTTAAAATATCCTAAATAATACAGTTTATCTCACCTATGATATATACAAAGACTAAAACATACACCAAAATGTTATGCTTATAATCAGAAAGTTGGTCCTTTTTATATCCATGTTTTCTTTGTATTTCATTTTCTCCCTCCCTCCCTCACAATCTTGACACAAACCCCGATGCAATATTACTGACAAACCTATGACCATTTTTTTCCTCATTCAGCAGTTATGAAGGCTCTTATACTGGGATATAGTGGTAACCAAAATAGACATTACCTTGCCATAATGAATCTAACAGTCTAGCAGTGACTTTTTTTAAGCTTTATTTTTTAATAGATTAATAGTCACATTATTTGAAATTAAATAAATTTAAATAGAAAAGCCTTTCAGCCTCTTACTTTTCCCTCCCTGCAAACACTATTACTGAGAGATTTTACGTACATAAAAGAAAGTGAATATGTGACATGTTACACATTCTGTACATTTTTCATTCCATAGTGTATCCTGTAAATGAGTCCCTTATTAATTAGCATTTAAATTGTTTTCTAGTTTTTCCATCCTTTTTTCAATAACCTCTTAAGCCTTATTGTTTTAGCATATTTGGGCTGCTACAATAAAAAACAGGCTTTACACTGGATGATTTATAAACAATAGAAATTTATTGCTCACAGTTCTGGAGGCTAAGAAGTTCAAAATCAAGGCACCAGCAGATTCAGTGTCTGGGGAAGGCTTTTTCTGTGCTTCAAAGATGGCACCTTCTTGCTGTGTCCTCACATGGCAGAAGACACAGAAGAGACTAGGCTATTCCCTTCAACCTCTTACAGGGTCACTAATCCCATTCTTAATCACTTCCCAAAAGGCCCCACTTCTTAATACTATCACTTCGAATATTTAGGTTTCAGCATATATTAATAAGTTGTGGGGGGGCACCAACATTCAAACCATAACATTTACTTTATAAGCCTTTCTAGGCATTTGAAACTAATGCTTTAGCTTTTGGTACCATTCCTGATTCCTATCAAGTCTCCTTTGCAGGGTTCTATCCTTGGTCCTTTTCCTGGGAATTTCATGCTTCTCCTACCAACTCTGCCCTAATGACTTCCAAATACAGAACTACAACCCAGACCTCCCCTGAACTCCAGACCCACATGTCCAGCTGCCTGTGGATATTTTTATCTGGACATCCCATGGGAATCTTAAACTTGGTATCCCTCTTGGTATTCATTACCCTCAAAAAGCTATTTCTTCCTTATTTCCATCTAGGTAAACGGGTCACAGTTCTGTAAACCAAAACCTCAATTCCCCTTCATCATCTCCTATACTCAGCAACTAAACCTGCTAGTTTCAACAACTTTATCACCCCGCACCCCCCGCTTTCCTCTTCTTGATTCCTATTGTGCTGTTTGGTTCAAGAAACACATTCTGACCCACATTTAAATGCTCTGTGATAGTTTTTGAAGACCCATTGCAATGGTTAAAGTGGAATTTTACCAATCGAGAGAAATGTCTTAAGGGGTGATTTCACTCAGTGAGCTGGGATGCAGTATGGCTCTCTAATTCTTCTTCGCCTAGCCTTCAAATGGCCTATTGGTGTCATTTTGTATAATGTTTTTGGAATCTCTGTTGGATAGAGTCATAGAAAACTTCCCAAACCAAATGGGAATGTTTTAATTATATTGCAGTATACTGTTTAGGTGAGTGGGTGATTGCAGTTGACCTTTTTTTAAATTTTAGTGGTTAGTTGATTTTATGTTTCGTTTTTTTAAATACAGAAGTGCTTGTAAAAAACTTAGTACAGGTGTGAATAAAGTAAATGGCAAAGGTCTTTGGCATTCCCCCACTCCCTTTCCCCAGAGATTGCTTTCTGTCCATTTACAGTGTCCCAAGCACCTACTCTCTACAACAGCTTCATGAGATATGTAGCATTATCTCCACTTCACAGGAAACTGAGGCACAGAGAGTTTAAGTGACTTGCCCAAGTTCACACAGGTTCTAAGTGGCAGAGTAGAGCCACGATTTGACTCCAGACATCTGTGTCCAGAGCCCAGCTTTTGTCACAGTTGACCTCAAGACTTTTCAGATGTATCGATTCCTGATTGGAAGAGGGAATAATGTCAGTGATACCTAGAGAAAAGTGGAGGGAAGGAAGGGAAGTTAAAGGAACCTGCATGCATCCTGAAACCAGGGCTTTCGAGAAGGAAGACGAGAGTAGTGAGAAGTGGTAAGACAATTAACAGTGTTGTGGGTATGACTGACTCGAAATCTGTTTCCTTCTTTCTAAATAAGGAGAAGGAAGTGGTGGTACAGGGAATGAGTATGTACTTTATAATTGATAGCAGTTACTAGAGTAGCACTACTGGATTTTGTATGGGAAGATGACGACATTGTTAATAGCTCCTGTTGTCTTTTCAAACCATTAGCATCCCCCTTCCATATATATGCTTGATTAATGCTGTTAAACAGTAGATTTCACTGCAAGAATGTCTTTGTAGGGAGCAGTTAAAAAACTGTAATTTGTATCATTAAGTAGATCAAAGTAGGTTAAAAAGTTGCAAGTTTCAGAGTGACCACAGAGCAAGAAAGGCAATAGGTATTACCATGGTAGAGCTGCACAGTAGACTGTTTATTACATAACCAGTATTCAGAATCTTTAGATGTGATACCCTTGCATGGATTTGAATTCTGAAAAAAGAACCTAATTTAATGTCTCTAACAGTCTCTCCCTTAGAAAGATCTTTCTCACATATAACCCAGCTTGATCTTTGTTTTGAATTAAGGACTATCTTGATTCCCTCCCACTGTCAAGGTAATCTTGGTAAAGATTATTAAAAGCAGAGTTGGAAAATGTGTTAGTAGAAACCTCTAGCCAAAATCTCTTAGTGATCTTAACAGGAAAAGTAAAGCTTTCCTCTTTACCAGTGGTCATCTCCTGGGCCTTAGGGTAGATTGAGCCTAAAGGGGTGTCTTCATTTTGCATTTGCATTTAGATAAAGCCACCCTTTGGGGAACAGACTTTGGTAAAGGAATAACGGGGATACACTTTGACTTACATCTTAAAGATTGCAGTTTCTGTTTCTGAAAAATAAAGAGTGTAAATATATCGTGGTACAACATTCCATCTTTGAACCTATTAGTATATTGCTACTAAAGGCTTAATCATTTTTCATTTATAACTATGATCTAGGTCTAACTAAGAGGCTGCCCCTATATGTGGATGTTTTTGCAGGATATTTATGGTAGGAGTTTTTGCATGGTTTTCAATACGCTTTTGAAAGCTTATTTTTTTTATCTTTTTTTTTTTTTTTTTGGTCATCCACAGGTTCGAGAACTTGTCTTGGACAATTGCAAATCAAATGATGGAAAAATTGAGGGCTTAACAGCTGAATTTGTGAACTTAGAGTTCCTCAGTTTAATAAATGTAAGCTTGATTTCAGTTTCAAATCTCCCCAAGCTACCTAAATTGAAAAAGGTAAGTGCTGACAGTAAAAGAGAACCATCCTGGGAAGGGAAATGTATGATTTTACTTGTAAGGACATACTTAGTGTAGCAGAAAGCATATGGCCTTTGGAACTGGGCAGATACGGGGTTGAATTCCAGCTCTATCATTTCCTTGATGGCTAATCTTCTGCAGGTTACTTAATCTCTAAGGCCCAATTTCCTCACCTGTAAATTGGTGATATCACTTGACCTTGCAGAATTGTTGTGGTGTTTGGAAATAATGCACGTTGGATGCCCAATAAATAGTAGTTTGAAGAACAATTATTGTATTTTGTGAGTAAATTATTGTTATAAATTTATTGTTACAGTGTTAACTAGGTTTTGTTAGTATGCTCTGGTTCAAGAACCACAGGTACCTCCCACTCTTCATGTTTTATGTCTGTTGATTAGGGGTGAGTTTAAGTAAAGACTTTAAGATTTATAGCCTATGGTAATTCAAACCCATTATGTAATTCTAATGACTAGAAAGTTTAAAATATGTTGTGATTGACTAGAAGAATTCAATGTAACAAAGCTACTGTGTTTCCCTATCCTGGTTGATGACCCATTGTTAGTGCCTACTGTTCTAATTACAGCCAATTCTCTATCCCCCTCCAATTCTTCCACCTCCCCAAAAGAGTACAGAATGCTAAAGAAAAATGTTTCCTCTTGTTCTTGCACATTTAACTGTCACAGAGCCCCAGAATGTCAGAGCTGGAAGAAACTTTGACCTTCTAGCTGAGCCCCTTGTTTATAGATAGGTACAACAACAGACTCAGAAAGTTGTAGTAATTTGCCTAAAACTGTTGGCAGAAGTGGTTAGTGCTAGAGCCAAAACTAGAGCCCATCTCTCCTAACCTTTTGCACTGCATAGGAAAAGATATGTGGTTATATAAGTCTTGCAGAATTCTCCACTGTTTCGGTATTCACTTTATTAGGAAACTTAAGTTTGACTTAAGTGAACTTTGTTCACACGTGGAACAAAGGCATGCATAGAAATTAATAATCAAACTTAGGCAAAGGGCAGGTAGGCTCTTCCTAGAGCTTGCATGAGTAGTAAGAGAGACTGGTGGGGGGGGTTGGATAACTACATGAATTAAAAACTAGAAGTTTTTGTTGTGTGTGTTTTTATTTTTGTTTTCTCTTATTTGCCTTGATTAGGTAATAAATGATTAGGCAGTCCTCATGAGTTTCAGGTAATAGTGTTTCTGATGAGAAATTTCCCCCTTCTGAGTATCTATTTAGAGGTTCAAGTGTAACCCTTTTATATTTGCATAGGTTATCAGTGACATTGGACGCTCTGATTGACCCAGTTAAACTCAAGATGGCTTTTTAACATCTATTTGCATAAACTTGATGCTAGCAGATCCTTAGTGTATGTTTTGTGTTCTGTACTGTCAAAGTAGTCAGAAAGTCAACCTATTGGTGACCATTTATGTGGGGATTTTATCAAATCTTTGAGGTTTTTAAACATTAATCACAGCCCTTATAGGGCTAATGAAGGGGAATCATACTTAAAGGCAGATTGAATATTCTCACAGCTGCTAAGGGCTTTAGTTTTTTCCTACCCCAGAGCACAGACTATTATTAACAAGAAATAAGTACCAAAAAAAAAAATTTGATGTATAGATATCATGAGTTTCCTAAATTTACACATTTATTTCATTTCAAAGTAAATATGCTACTAAATGCTTTGGTGGATTGCCTTGTTATTCCTACTCCCTAAGATACTCATGTTGAAAAGATTTGACTATTACATGTATGTGATATTCTAACCACATGATCTAAACAGAGATCAGGAAAAGTGGTTTATTTTTATTTTGATTAACTAAAATCAGCAATGAAGCTAACACTTGAATCTTTGATCATAGACTTGTATTTTTAAGTGTAGACCAAGACTAGATATTTGACTGGAATGTCCCATTGGAAGGAAAAAAATATTTTGAAATGTTGCATTTCCTGTCCTGAAATACTTAACACCTAAGCAGCTGACTTGTTTTTTAAACTCATTTTTTCAACAGGTATTTAAATTTTTTAAAGTTCCCGTACTCTGAATCATGTAGTACATTTCATTGCATGCCAAAGGCCTTCATTATATGAAATGTTCGTGCTAGTCTAGGTATTAATACATAGCATAATGGAGTGGGCATGGGTACTTAAGAAACCAGCCTGCCTGGCTTCAAATGATAGGCCTACCACGTTAACACCTGGTACTCTCTTTGTAGTTCATTTTCCTCGTCTATAAATGGGGGTAGTAATTCTCCCTGCCCTCTAGTGTTGTTGTGAGATCAAATGAGTTAATGTATTTCTAGTGCCTTGAACAGTGCCTGGCAACTTAAGAACTGTGTGAGGGTTAGATACAGTTACCATTGTTGACACTTCAAAATAGAGAATTGGAACCAGCTGTGTGGCCTAAGTTTTCTCATGTACAAAAGGAAGAGCTTGAATTAGATGTTCTCCACAGTGCTTTCCGGGCTCCAACTCCTGGTAATCAAAGATTGTAATATTCCTTGGTGAGGGCTCACTCCATTATTGGCATACCACTTGCGTGTGCTACTGGACTTGCAGCTAAGAAATTACAGTAGGATCTAATAAAGGTTGGTGCCAGGTTTATGCAAGTGACCTCTGGGAGCTGGTTCGTAAAGCTGAGGCCATTGCCCCATTCCCTTTCCTGAGGTCATGGAGCTTCTTTATGGGTACATTTCTGGGGTCTGTCCTACTCCTGTGACCTTCAGAGCAGCATTCCCAGAGTCTTCCAGGTGTAGCACCACACAGTGTGTTAGAACCACATTAGGTTTCAAGTGGGCGTTGCAGACTTTGCTTGGAACACAACATAAGCTGCTCAGAAGCGCAAACCATTTACCCTTTCTGGCAGGTATATAGAGTATTACCACTTCTCAAAGAATTTTTAATTTGTTTTGACCTAGGTTAGAAAATGTATTCACTGATGTTAGAGGCCGTTTCTCGAGCAAACTGTTATTATCTCATTAAGAAAACACAGTATTTCTCAAGCTCTCCTGTGACTTAACCCTACACTGCCCCACCCCACATGTTGCTGGGATTCATAAACTACTTATTTGGATTTAATGAAACAAAATCAACATACATGCCCTAATAGAAACAGGGATCATTTGATATTGATAAATATTAGAAAGCCATATTTTCTATTCATAACACATTAATGATGTGTATTTCTCTGTGTATTTGTGTGTTTGCCGTGTACATTATCTCTTGCAGCTTGAGCTCAGTGACAATAGAATCTTTGGAGGTCTGGACATGTTAGCAGAAAAACTTCCCAATCTCACACATCTAAACTTGAGTGGAAATAAACTGAAAGATATCAGCACCTTGGAACCTTTAGTAAGTAATTGAGAATTTGGAAACTGGGACTTATTGGTCATTTTCATTTTCATGTTTCTTTATAGTGGGGGAAATTATTGGGAATAATGAATGGTTGAGAAAGTGATGGTTTTTTACTTTCAATAGGTGTCCAGATATTAAAGATCAAGGCCTTTCTAATTACATGTATTCCTGTGGCTTTGCTCTCTCCCTGGCTGATATAGTGATGGCTTCCTTCAAAAGGAAATTCTTTGGAGTTTTTGTTTCTTTTTCAAAGTTCATATATTGACTATAGCCTCATACCCTTAAAATTTTTCCCCCAGATTGGCCAAGCCATTCTGTACTTTTATCCTTGAACAGAACATGCTATTTATAGTGGGTGGCATATGTGACCTGTAGATGGAACAATGAAGGGCAGCTCCGATAATAAGTTTTAGGTCTTCTAATTCATGATCTTGTGCCTTAGCTTGATTACTGTTGCATAAAGTTTTATGTGGAAATCTCAAGATCCCTCCCAGTCTTACATATTGGGATATGTTATGGAAAGCTATGTTTAAGTGCCACTTGGGTTGTAGATGTGCTGTGTGACCTTGGGCAAATTGCTTCTTCTCTCTGGGCCTCAGTTTCCTCATTTATAAAGCAGGGAGGACAATGATCCCTGCCTTACTAGGGGTTCTGAGAATAAAATAATGTACTTTGCTTTGTAAATTGGGAAGCTGTGCTAAGAGGGGTCCAGTTGGTGTGGAAGTTGTAGTGGCCAGAAGAGCTTCCAAACGCAGGACTGGAGGTAGGAGTTAATGCAGGTTTTGGGGCAGCACCACAGGCTGTGCTGTTTGTGAGAAGGTTGTGCAACAGAGAGAAGCTGTCTTTCAGGATCCAGAAGAGCAGGCCCAGGAGGATGAAACATCTTCTCTGTTGTCTCTATTTTGATGTCACAGTATGTTAAAATGTGTGGATTTCACATAACTTGTATAGAATGCTCTGTTGATACTTCAGGGGATGATTGAATTAAATTGTGGCTTCTTTTAATGAAGAGGATTTCCTGTCAGAATTAGAGAGTCTTTTCCTTCCTGAACAAAAATTGAGATTCAACTCCAATACAGATTTAATCCCCCTTTATTAAGTCTCTTTATTTTTACGTTTTCATTAAGTGGACCATATTTAAAAGCTCTTATTTCACGTAAGTGTCGGGAGCTTCTTTCTCACATGTGCATCATGAATTTTGTCCTTTTTTCCTGTTACAAATATGCCCAGTTATTCAGGCTCTCTAATTTTTACTAGTTCCATTCTTTTCCTTAAACCAACTCCTATTTCCCAAGTTCAAGCTTTTATTGAATTCTGCTGTATTCAAGGACATTAACATTTGCCCATTGTGTCCTCATATAATCCAGAGAAGAGAGAAGGACTGTCCTCTTTTTAGAGAGGAGAAAGCTAAGGTTAGAGAGCTTCAGATAAATGGCAGACTAGGGATTCAAGCCCAAGTCCACTGTTTCCACTGCCCTTAGAACCTGTTCTTCTCTTTCTACCTGTAAATTTATTCCATACCCAAATTTCCCTAAGCTAGGAATTCCAACAGGAGCACTAAATTAAGTGCTGATGCCGTCTCAGTCATATGAGTCACACTGAGCCTTTGTTTAGTGGTTAATGACAGGCGTGTCAATTCTGGGTCACTGAGCATGGGAACCCCCTCTCTTTTTTTCCTTTTTTGTTTTTTTTTTATTTTCTAATGAACAGAGTACCAGGCAGTACCTTTTCATGCTAGATCACTGGCTATTGCCCAATTCTTGAGGCAACCTGATTCCTCTTTGATTTTCAGAAGCCTTTCTCTGTGTGCTAGAGGAACTCGATTCCTCTAGTGCACAGAGACGGAGCAGAAGCAAGTACTGTGTGGGAGTGGTTTGCTTGAGTGTTCCTGATCTGGTCAGTAATGTGTGAGGGCCCATTGGTGGCTGTGAAAGTCTCAGTCCCCCAGGACAACAAAGGATGAGAAGTAGCCTTCATTTGGATTTACCATTTTGGGAGGATCTGCTGTGTCCATACACTGTACAGGGTGCTTAATGTGTATTATCTTACTAATACAAAATTATCTTATTAGTACACAAAGCGGATAGACATATCATGGCCCTTGCTTTATGTTGAGGAAGCTAAGGCTTGTGTGAGGCTGAACCCCTTGTCCAGAGTCACACACTGTGTGGCAGAGCCACAGTGCTATCTATACACAGGACTATTTGGCAAAGCCTGGCTGTCACCATTCTGCTCTACTTGCTGTTCAGATTCCTGCGGGTGCTGTTGGTCTCCTGAAGTTCTAACTTGGAATAAAGTAAATCTGTAGGAAAAGGTGAAGGGGGGAAATGCTGGGTTCGTTTTGACTTCTGAAAGTATTCTTCAGTGGGGAAAAACACCATCCTCATCTTCATTAACCACATACATTTTGAACAGTCTACTTTGAGCCCAGTTCTTAACAGTCAATGCAATGATTGTGAATGCCTCTGCTTGCTACAGGGACATTAATCGAGAGACAAAGAAGGCATCAATTCAAACTTCCTTGGACACCTTTTTTTAAGAGACCTGGGCCATCCAAACCATCCCCCAAAGCCCTTCTAAATTCTAAGAAGGCAAGCAAAATTATTGTTAATAAAATGTTTAATGTTTATTATGGCTAGCCTATTAGCTTACATCAAATTTCTGGTATGATAGACTTGTAATTTTTTTTAGCAGTATTTACACATTACATTGGGATCCTGAATAACCTGTGTGTAGTGTATTTTATGCCTATTGAGGCTTAAAGCACAATTTTACTACTTTAAACAATTCCAGAGAACTACAATTATTTGGGATTTTTGTTGTTTACTTGCTTTCATTTTCTTTTCTAGCTACTCTTTGGCATATCCAAATTATTTGATGATGGGTGCTTTATGAGGAAATAGCCAAAAATCCCACATAATCATACGATTTCAGAAACAGAGCCTTGGAGGGCCTATGTACTGGAATAATCAGTAAAACTTGAGCAAGGGCTTTGGGTATTGAAAAGCATTAGGTAAATATCAGGGGTTGTATGCATTTTTATGCACCCATTCCTAGGAAATAATTTTGAGGTATAAATGGTTCCTTTTAAGTGGAAAATTTCTAGACATAGCCTCTTTGGGAAAGGTGGCTAAATCTACTTATGGTTGTATCTTAGCTAGTATAGAGGCAGCCTTTGTGAAGAGAAGGCCAGTAGCTAGCTAGTTGTCTGGGTTGGCACTGTAGCATTTTTACCCTCTTCTGCAAGAAGTCGTACCTGGGCTCTGGAAGCCAGGCCTGCCCAGGAGGGAACCTAATCTGAAAGTTATACATTTGGGGTTTGAGGGATACATTTGTCTGTTGCTGTAACCCTGCTCTGTGTTCGCTGCCTGGCTAAATGTTCTCAAGGGCTACTCAGTGAGAATAAAACAAATGTGCGAACATCTTCCTTGACTGGGAAGATGAAGTTTCTTTCTGTGCAGGGGTCACCAACCCTTTTCTCTAAGGGCTGGATAATAGACATACTAGGCTTTGTAGGCCATATAGTCTCTGTCACAACTACTCAACTTGGCCACTGTAGCACAAAAGGAGCCATACATAAAACAAACGAGTGTGGCTGTGTTCCAGTAAAACTTTACAAAAACAGGTGGACCAGAATTGGCCAGTGGACCACAGTCTGCCAACCCCTGCTCTACAGCTCTAGGCAGATATTCATATCATTTTGTATCTCCCCAGAATAACAAAGATACCTCAAGTCCTTATAACAAGGTTTTGTTTTGTCTGCATTTCTTCCCAGGTCCCTGTGAGTGTTGCATTAGCTTTCCCAATAAAGCATTAAAGTCTTTTAAGCATCAACTTTTATTTTTTCAAAATTATTTCATACAGACAACTTCTTAATGTTTGGGGTTTTTTAGTACTATTTACTTAGAGAATACCAAGTTTTTTGTCTTTATTCAGGTCCATTAAAAGTTACATTTATTGCCCTTATTCTAAAAGGCACCAGACTATGTATTAGTATGTCACGTTTTGTATTTGCCTTTTATAGGCTGCTGCTCCTTTTTCCTACTAGGATCTGCTGTCACTTCCTGTTGCTGTCTCCTGGCTTGCCTGTAATAGTACCTCTGCCCTCTCAATCTCTTAACTCACCCTTAGTCAAAACTTAATAGTCCTGGCCGGACGCGGTGGCTCATGCCTGTAATCCTAGCATTCTGGGAGGCCGAGGTAGGTGGATCGCTCAAGGTCAGGAGTTCGAGACCAGCCAGAGCAAGAGTGAGACCCCGTCTCTACTAAAACAAATAGAAATAAATGATCTGGACAACTAAAAAAATGTATATATATAAAAAATTAGCCGGGCATGGTGGCGCATGCCTGTAGTCCCAGTTACCCGGGAGGCTGAGGCAGGAGGATCGCTTGAGCCCAAGAGTTTGAGGTTGCTGTGAGCTAGGCTGACGCCACGGCACTCTAGTCCAGGGAACAGAGCAAGACTGTCTCAAAAAAAAAAAAAAAAAAAAAAAAACTTAATAGTCCTGGGATTGAAATACTAGTACACTGTACATAATAACAAATGAAGATTTGAGTCAAACACATGGGCATTTTCCTGTCCCCTTTAGCTACTCAGAAAACTCTTCTTGGGCCAAGTTTTTAGGTCTTAACTATTTTAGAAAGATAAAACTGATGATTCCAAACAAATAAGGTAAAATTTCAAGGTAGGGTAAAATCAAGAATTTTACATCATGAGAGTCTGGTAATGTGTCAGTCTTTTCCCAAAAATTGCAAAAGAAGAAAAAAGTGTAATGTTTCTCTGTATTTCTGAAGTTCCAACTCTATGTCTGTGTTCCAAGTAGAATTATAAGGGCCTTGAGATTGAGGACTTTGTTATAAATCTCTGAATTTTTTTCCTGTACTACCACCCTAGAGCATTAAAGACTGCTTAATACCCAGCAAGTTCTTATTGGCCATTTGATTGCCCAAACGTTAAAACTTAAGTTTGAACCAAATTTATTAGACTATTTGTCTCATACTATGAAAAGGCCTAGTTTTAATAAAATTATTTCAAATTTATATTTATTTAAACTACTAATGCTGCCTGAAAAAGACATAGTTCTCTGGGAAAACAGATGTAGGGAAGGGAGGAACTAGTTAAAGTTTAGTAACATCAGGGTTGCAAAGGACTTGATGTGTTTTCTTGTGGACAAGGCTGAGTGTAGCAGCTAATTGGACATAGAGCCTAGAATTTTACCTCTTCAGAAGATGAGTTTTGTTGCTTATGTTCCTTTGGTTTAGGAGTTGTGTTTTTGATCCTTTTCTTCAGAAAAAATTAGAATGTTTAAAAAGCCTGGACCTCTTTAACTGTGAGGTTACTAACCTGAATGACTACCGAGAGAGTGTCTTCAAGCTCCTGCCCCAGCTGACCTACCTGGATGGCTATGATCGAGAGGACCGGGAAGCCCCCGACTCAGATGCTGAGGTGGATGGTGTGGATGAAGAGGAGGAAGATGAAGGTGAGTGGGCTCAACACCCACTGAACCTGCTTTCTGCCCTTTCAAGGTTCTGATAAAAGCTACTGAGTGTTCTTGCTGTTGAGGAAAACAATTTATACATATGAATGTAGGCATTCCATTAAATTTGGAGCTAGGGCCTGTTTAATAAGCTTTTGGGACATTGAAGCCTTAAAATGGTTCAGGATAAAAATGGTTAACGAATGGTGTTTGAATTTGGAGCCTAGAGATGATAGATTGTGCTCTATCCCGTTGAAGTACTTAGAGTGTACGCAGAGAAGCGTGGTCTCATGTCTCCTAGCTGTTCCCCTTCTTGGTTACTGCCTACTTATCCTTACAAACTCAGCTTTGTCTGCACCTCCAGGAAGCATTTCCTGACAGCCACAAGCAAGGTTAGGGTCCTGCGCATGCTAGACTGCCCCCTTGCTTCCTCCTTCAGGCCTGCTGCTTCATTATCTCTTCCTGCTATGCTACGATTATCTTCTTGGGGGAGAGACTGTCTTTTACCTGTCTTTAATTCACAGGGCCTGGAACTTAGTAGGTACTTGGTACCTGTTTGTTATAGCCAAAATATAAATAAAATAGCTTTCTTGCCATTAATATATGACTAGAGTTTAAGAAGGTAATGATTTTAAGGTACTATATTGTCAGATTTCATTTTTCATAAATAATATCTAGTTATAACATGGAATTAAAAATACTTTTCACTATTTTTGGCATTTGATCAAGGTTTTTAATATATCCATTATCTTTAAGAATCTTTTTATATATTTTCTACCCAGAATATCCCTCCTGATTAGCTCATGTTTTCCTTGCACTGACTCGTTTACTCTGAGTCACTCTTAGGCTTCTCACCTCCAAGTGGCTTAGAGGAAGCAATGTGATTAGTTTTCACATCAGTCAGCATGAAGACTGTTTGGTCTCCTAGAATTCGTGATGTTCATGGCATTCTGCTTTGAAGCATTATTATTTTTTTTTCTATGAACTTGAGAAGAGATGAAGCATTATTTTTAACATCTCTTTACTTTAAAAATTAAAACACAAGACAGAAATGTTCAAGGAAATGGAGGAGTAAAAAACATCAGGCACTTTGGGTACAATTAATGGTATAGTACCCTGTAAACATTTTTACACTTTTACAGCAGATTGAGACAGGCAAAAAATAATAGGTTATAAGGTGGTAAAATGGACAAAAGAGTGGGACATCGCACCTACTTTCAAATGTTTATGTTCCTCACTCCCTTCTGCAGGTTTTCAGTTTTTCCTAAAAACCATTTGTGCTTGTTTAATTAGGCTTGCCTTAAATAAGTGCAGCGGCCACATGTGCAGGAGTCTATAAAGGAAATTCCTCGGAGCGTGGAGGGCAGTTCCTCAGAGCAAAGATTGGTCAGGCAACAAATATTTGAGTGTTTCCTGTGTGCCAGGCACTGTGGAAAATAGTGGGTTTTTAAAAAAAAAAAAACAAGCGAGGTGTAGTGGCATGGGCCTGTAGTCCTAGCTACTCCAGAGGCTGAGGTGGGAGGATCACTTGAGTGCTGGAGTTTAAGTCCAGCCTGGGCAACATACCAAGTCCCTGTCTCAAAAAAAAAAAAAAAAAAAACAACAACAACAAAACACAGACATGGTTCCTGTCCTCTTAGAGCTTATTGTGTACTAAGAAGAAAATTTTTTTTTAATCATTAATAATTACATGTGAGCAAAGCATGCTGTAATGGAGAAGCACCAGGTACTAGAATGAGAACCTGTCACCTGGGGTTAGGAGTCTGGCCGTAGTGCCTGAGGAAGTGGTGTTGACTGACACTCCAGGGTGGAGTCAGAGTTGGCCCAGGAGGCAGGAGAGAGCATAGTGAGCTCTAGGACCTGGGAGAAGGAGGGACTGCTGTTCTAGAGGTTGGCATAGACAGAATGGAGACGCAGGTGCCTTTCAGCCTCCGGTCCCCCAAGTCACAGGGTTATTACGGGTGTTGAGCTTTCAGGTTTCTGATTTGAGCATCTGGCTCTGATGGTACTGTTACCCAGGAGATGGCATGTGATTTTTTTTTTTTTTTTTTTTTTTTTTTTAACTGTGGAAAATTTCAGACTTTGACCAAGTTAGGAATAATAGTAAAATGAACTCCCATGTTCTCATCACTCAGCTTCAGTAATTATTGGTCATAGCTGATGTTTTATTCATGTACATCCCTACCCTCTTCCCCTGCTCCATATTATTCTGAAGCAAATCCCAGCAGTTCTGTCATTGCATCAGTAATAACTATAGTGTGTGTCTAGTCTGCCAGGACTTGTAGCCTCCTGGTTTGATGGGACTCTCTTGGACAAAGGGGCTAGCATCACTTGTTAGAAAGAAGGCAGCTGCAGTTCATGGTCTTCACTGATGTTGGTGCAGCCCAGCATTTGTCCTGTGGGCCAGCCCACAGATCTCTAACACTTCAGCAGAGGTGCCCCATGGAACATCAGGGGTATGTAATGAATTCCTTTTTGGACTATCTTCAGAAGGAGAAGATGAGGAGGACGAAGAGGATGAGGATGGTGAAGAGGAAGAGTTTGATGATGAAGAGGATGAAGATGAAGACGAAGATGTAGAAGGGGAAGAAGACGAAGATGAAGTCAGTGGGGAGGTCAGTGAAGCTCTTTTCTGTCCTGCTTCCTATTTTGTAACTAGAACATAAGTGTGGATTTTAAAAAGACAAAGGGGGAAAACCTGAAGAAATTAGTATGCTTGTGAATAGACTAATAATGTGAGTCTAACTAATTTAGCTTTTCTCTGCCTTTTAATAACTACTAAATGGAATGCCCACTAAATGCTAAACTAGACACAGTGCCCGGCTCTGCAAGGTAAGTTTTGGTCCTTAATACTTTGGGAGGAAGGAATGAGTTGAGTATTCAGGGTGCTAAGAAATGTAAATGTTGAGAATTGATGGTATTTCTATCCTTTGTTATATATTTACCAAGTCTGAACTTTTTCTTGTATATTCAATTTAATTCAGCAAATATATTTCTGCTGTGTTAAAGACTTAGGGGGTACAAAATTATATGGGACTGTGGTCCTGCCCTGAAAGAACAAGTAGTCTAGTTTATTGGACATCCAGTGATAGAATATCCCCAAGGAAATGAATGCTATAGGAGAACGGGAGAAAGTAGCAGCTTGACTTTGACCCTCAAGGAGATTTGAGAAACCAGCAGAGAAAGTTACTTGTCATCAGAGAGTGTGTCCTTTTGTAGTAGAAAAGTAAGGCTAAGGGTTTAAATGTTGGTGTTTTTTTTTTTTTTTAAGAAAAATCTTAAAATTAAGCTCACTAGTGAAAATCACCAAGTCTCAGTATATCAAGTAGATAAAAATAACATTACAGTTTCTCCTTAATGTATTGTTATGTTTGCACAGTATATTTTTCTTTGTACTTCTCAATTTGGCAGAATTTATCTAATAATGTTATGTTTGCCGTTCTTTAGGAAGAAGAATTTGGACATGATGGAGAAGTTGATGAAGATGAAGAAGATGAAGATGAGGATGAGGATGAAGGTGGGTGTAACACATGTACTTTGGTTGTCCTCAGTTAAAAATGAGATGAAAATATCCATTATTTAGAATTTGATACCACTGAGTGGAAGATAAAATGCCCCGGCCCTGGTGGTCTTCACATGCATGCACTTGTGCCATCCTGTCACTGCATTTTTGTTGGTGCAGCCTCCCTGCTGCTACAGCAGTTAATGCTTGTCTGATGGCAGGGGCCCTGTCAGTCAGTCTTCATTCTCCATGTTTTAAATGTGTTTTTGGACCCCGTTGATTGGTTTACTACTGCCCAGCATGAGATTTCTATGTTTGGAGTTGTTTCATTTAAAAAAGGCTTAATAATTGGATCATCATTTTTCAAGACATACAAGCACCTTTCCAGTTTTATCGGTGTTATTCCTTTCCCTGCCACAACCAAGACTAGTGAAATAGATGTTATTAAATAATTGTTGAAAGTACACGGTCTCATGGTTGTTTAGAACTCAGAGAACCAGTTTGTTTGCTGTGCTTTCTATTGGTTCATACTTTCTCAGCATCCGCTCTGCCAGGCTCTGGACTAAATGTACAGTAGATATCAACACTAATTAGGGCCTGGTCACTGCCTTCAAGGAGCTTTTTGGAACATGATTTAACAAATTTAGTTAATTTCATTAAAATAACTGAATTTTTACTAGTTGAAAAAAACAGAAGTATGTGTAGTATGTACCTTGTGTCTCAGATATATACATATTCAAAGAAATCCTGTTGTGTGTGTTTTTTTTTTTTTTTGAGACAGAGTCTCACTGTGTTGCTCGGGCTAGAGTGCCGAGGTGTCATCCTAGCTCACAGCAACCTCAGACTCCTGGGCTCAAGCAATCCTTCTGCCTCAGCCTCCCGGGTAGCTGGGACTACAGGCACGCACCACCATGCCCGGCTCATTTTTTCTATATATTTTTTTTCTATATATTTTTAGTTGTCCAATTAATTTCTTTCTATTTTTAGTAGAGACGGGGTCTCGCTCTTGCTCAGGCTGGTCTCGAACTCCTGAGCTCAAACAATCTGCCCGCCTCGGCCTCCCAGAGTGCTAGGATTACAGGCATGAGCCACTGCACCCAGCCAGAAATCCTGTTTTATTACTATTAATTTGCTACAATTTGAGTCTTAGCCATGTTCCATACTGAGTGCTTTGGGTGTTACCTCATTTAATTCTCAGAGTATTGTTTCCATTTTACAAGCCAGGAAGCTGGCTTAAAAGAGGTTAAGCTTGCCCAAGGTCACTTGTAGATAAGTATGGCTCAGAAATAGTCTGGCTAACTCCAGAGACTTTACTATATGCATTTTAATAATTGGTAGATGTCTAATTGGTGGGGCCAACAAGCTTAAAAAAAATAAGAAATATTTGGAAGAAAACAACTTAAAAATGAGAATACTGGGTTAACTTTGCTGGGTGAGTTGAGGGGCTGCTGTGCATTTTGCTCTTCTTGGTTCTGTGGCTTGTACTTAATAACCTGCTAGTCTGATCAAGTTTACATCTTTTTTTTTTTGATTTGCCAACCATCAAAAAATTTATTATTGTTGCCATTCACCTTAGCCTAAGCACAATGCCTTTCCAGTTGTCTCAAAGTCAATCTTTGTTATTGATTGTGCAGAGGAGGAAGAAAGCGGGAAAGGTGAAAAGAGGAAGAGAGAAACAGATGATGAAGGAGAAGATGATTAAGAAGCTAAATGACCTGCAGAATCCGAACTGTTCAGTATTGGTTGGACTGCTCATGGATTTGGTAGCTGTTTTTTTTAAAAAAAAAACAAAAAACAAAAAACAAAAAAAAAGTAGCTGTGATACAAACCCCAGGACACCCACTCACCCAAAGAGCCAAAGAATAGTTCCTGTGACATTCCGCCTTCCTCCATTTAGTCCCTCTTGGTAATCCACCACCAAGCTTAGGGACTTTACCCCAACAAAATTGTAAGCGTTGTTAGGTTTTTGTGTAAGACTCTTGCTGTAGCGTGGATAGCTGTGATTGGTGAGTCAACCGTCTGTGGCTACCAGTTACACTGAGATTGTAACAGCATTTTTACTTTATGTACAACAAAAAAGCTTTGTAAATAAAATCTTAACATTTTGGGTCTGTTTTTTCATGCTTTTCTTTTCAATGAATTTTTTTTTTAACATTAGGACATTTTATGTGACAACTGCCAAAAAAGTATTTTTAAGAATTTAAGTGAAATAAACACATTACTCTTTGGTAAAGCCTAGTTGTATGCTTACATTTTTAAATTAGACTCTAATTGTAAGCTTATGTTAAAACACACTAAAGAACTTTCTTTGGCTTTGGATTTATATCAGTGGTTATTTAGGGGAATTGCACAAGTGTGTAGGATTTTTGAACATTTAAATCTATCCCTTGAGCCCAGGAGTTTGAGGTTGCAGTGAGCTATGATGATGATGATGCCACTGCACTCCAGCCTGAGCAGCAGAGCGAGACCCTGTCTGTAAGTAAATCTAATCCTCATTCTTGATGACCGGGAGTAAATGAGGTAGACTTTTAAAAACTAATGTTTGAATGTTCTGGAGCCCCCGAAAACCAGTAAAATAACATTAGGTTCAAGCAATACATGAATTTAAGGAAAAGAGGATATTGTAAAGGAAAAGGCCTTCACCAGAGTGTGGGAGATCTGAATTCTAGCTCTGGCTCTGCCACTGATTTTCTTGTGACCTTGTGTTGACCTCTGGGTCACCTCCCAGTCTGTAAAATTGAGGGGGTGTGACCAAATGGCTTCTGAAGTCTCTTGCAGCACTGATGTTCTGTGACCCTCTCTGACAGAAAGGTCTGAAGAAGGAACATGGGCTTTGCACCAAGGCTGAAACTTACAGGGTTTGACTGATGGGTGAACAGAGTATGGTTTGTTACCAAGACAGGCATGCTAAGGAAGAATGACATATGAAAAGCCTCACTGAGCGGTGGGCAGGAACTGCCTGAGGTCAACTCAGCTTTTCCAGAAGATGGGAATTTTCTCTATTCTTGCAGATGGTAAAGGCATTTGGGAAAGGAAAAGAATATTTTGCAGTCTATATTCAATGATTCAACCATTTAATGAAAATAGATTTATGACTGTATTGGCAATACACTTTTTCTGTAGTGGGAGATTTGAGGATTGCGTTGGCAAACCTTAACTATACCTACTGGAATGATAACTAGAAAAAGTTACATAGTCTCAGTGGAGCCCTCTAATCCTGTACTTTAAAATCTAAGTCTCCCATAGGGTTTAAGATAGAGTTTGCTTTTTGCAAAGGAAATTGAAGAAAATTGATTTCTGGTTTGACTGGTATTACTTTATTTTCCCCAACCACGGGCCTTATCTGCCATTTGGCAAACCTTCAATATATTGTAAAATGGTTTCTTCTATAGCCTGTGTGTCCTTAAGCTTTTGCCTATGTTGTCAAATATCAAACATGGTAACTTTGATTATTTTTCCTGTTTTTACAAGTTTACAGAACTTTCCAGTATTTACCAAGCATCTGGGATACGCCAGGCTCATTGGGCAAGAAGGAGGGGAATTAGGTTAGAGACAAGCCAGCCCTCGGGCTCGTAGTAGTAAGGAAGAAGAGGCATCAACACGTGAATGATGTTACGCTAGGACCTACGAACAAAAGGTCCAGGTGTTGGTGTAGTTCGGAGGCTGGAGAGGTGGCGCCCACCTAGGAGGGTTGGGGAAGGTTCTTTCCTAGAAAGGAAAGTATTTGAGCTGCATGTGCAAGTATGAAAAGGGTTTAGAAATAGGAATGGAGAAAACAGGGAGTATTGTGGTAAGCAGAAGTCAGAGGGAGGAAATTGCTGAGTACAGTTAGATACAAATAGGCAGATTTGACCAGAGAATGAGAAAGAGTAGCGTAATGGGAGGAGTGACTGGGGAAGTAATTTATTCCCTCCTAGAGGGCCTGGAAGGTCAAATCTTTCTTGTGCGTTCCCTTTGCATAAAACGGTGGCTTGGCCTTTCACCTGTGGCCACTGAGGATGTTTAGGGAATTATCAAGCACTAGGATCGATTTCATTACTGTCATGTTTTTTTTTTTCTTTTAAAATTAGGTTTACCAGCCTTTGACATGATCCTGCTCTCTGGGAGAGACTTGAGGCTCAGCTGCCCTCTGCTAAAAATGTAATAAAAATTCTCAGAGAAGCAAGCTTTTTGGTGATGAGGTCACAGCAAGACTGCATTTTTGGAGTTGTCTCCATCTGAAAGAGAACTTCATTGAGAGGATTTGCTTCTAGTTTTTTTAGCAAATACTTGAGTTGTAAAATGTTCCACTGGGTGGTAGCCATGTTGGGCTAGATGACCAGTCCTGACTAGCTTCTGCAAGGTTGGTGGAGGCGTGTTCCATGCATACGTACACCTATGTGTGTGATACGTTGGCATGCCATTTTATTTGAAGCTACAGTTCTCTGCTTTAAAAGGTTGAAGCCATTGTTCATTGTAGGAATGGGGAAACTGAGGCACAAGAGAAGGTCCAGAACTGGCCCAAGGTGTCCTGGTGAAGTAGTGAAAGAATCTAGCCTAGAAAACTTATGGCCTTATCTTCAACTTTGTGCTCTTAGCTTTAGTTCACTCCTGCTACAGGAATCCAGACCCTGAAGAGTGACTGACACTTGCTGGTCTAGAAATGCAGACTATCACCCCTCCTGCTCACTGCCACCAGGACTCCCACCTTGTTCCTGGCATTCCTATTTGGGCTACACCACTCCACCACCAGAGAAAGGTGAGACAGGAGCACAAAGGGTCTCTTCCCTTAGGCCGTGACTTTCCAGTTTTCTCCAGCTCTGTCACATTGTGCTGACATCAGTTTTAATGAGGCTGATGCTGTGTTGACAGTTTGAAAAGGGGGTCAAGTTACCTAGCAAACTTAAACTTCAGCCAGCCAAACAGTTGCTCTGCAGGAAAACCACCAAGATTGCAGGGAGTGCGGAAGTTCTTCCCAAAGCCAATTAGGTCAGCTCGATAATCTCTGAGCAAGTGGGTATTTTATAACTTGGCCCAGAGGTGTTGGGGAGGGCATACAGAGAAAAGAACATTGCCCTTAGAGTTACTCTGTATCTGATTATGGGGACTTGACCCCGGCAGGAGAGGGTTGCAGTGTGTGCGTTCATGACAGCACTCCTCCAGCCCAGCCCTGGGGCGGAGGAGTACAGGTGTGGTGACGGAGGCTTCGAACCCAGAATCCAGAGACGTGTTGTAGCCCCAACGTGGCTGTGGGATGGTATTTGACCCCTATCACCTCCATCTCAGTCACATCCCCTCCGTGAGCCTCCAGCTCCTCAACTGAAAATCTGAGGCCCAAGTTAAGTGAGCTTCCAAGTCGTTTCAGTTGTGTGGGACACTGTGAGTCTAACCAGCAACGAGGATGCTGGTTGTTAGTTACCCTGTTACTTACTCCAGAGGAGTGAGCCTGGGTTTGGGCAGGTGGGAAATGTCAGAGCTGTGTTTAGTTAGACTGATGGAGTAGAAAGAGGCCAGTGGCGGGAGACCAGATGAGGGTACACCCCAGCACTGACCCCGGGTGAGTGGGGTGTCTTCCAGAAACTGACACAGGAATACTAGTAAGTTGGTCAGACTAGTCAGTCTTGTAGTAGAATTACAGACTCAAGTTAGCATGAGTGGGCTATGTATCTGCCACTAACTAGGGGCACTTCCACTTGGAGGAGGAAGGGAACAGATGGCCATTTATTGAGGAAGTTTCTCTTTTAGTCCTCAACTTCCCTACAAAATAATAAACTGCAATCCCCATTTTATAGCTGTGGAAACTGAAGGATTTAGAGGTGAAGTGCCTCACCCAAGTCACAAAGCCAGTAATGGCTGGCCAGGCTGGGATTCTAACCAGCTCTGCCTGAATCCAGAGCTGCTCATTGCTGTGTGTTCCTCCCTAGGCCCTCTGGCTCCTGGCTCAGCTGTGATGAGAAAGTCAGTGGGTCTCTTTCCTCCTCAGCCTGGGAGCAAAGTACACTAGCTAACCAAGACCCTGTTGGTTCCATAGGTTCAGGACAGAGAGAGCAGAGCTAAAAGTTTTCAGTTGGAACCATGAAACACTTATGGATGCAGGCCAACAGTGAGCACTAGAATGCCGACAACCACTTAATGAGAATTTCACATCATGGGAGGCAGCCCTGCCATATACCACCTTGGTGAACTTGCAAAAGACCCTTTGCTTGTTGGAACTCAGTTTTGCCGTTTGTAAATTGGGAGTGCCTTGTCCACTCTCTGGTGAGCATGACAGTGCTGAGGGCTGAAGCACCTTTCAAAGATTTGAATTATTGATCCCATCCCATGTTTCCTTTTAAGGTTCGGGGGGGTGCAGAATTCATAAATGAACTATGCACTTCTGTATGGGAATGGCTGATGAACTTCCCCTCATTTACTCATCAAAGGTCCCTAAGTACCCGCTGAGTTCCAAGCACTGGGTTGGGATGCGGCACGTCTGAGTCCTATAGCAACCCTTTTCATCTTAATGTCAGTTTTCTAAGTGGGATAGATTTCTGTATCAGTCATCATAGTTTGCACTCAACTTGTGGCTAGAGGAGAGTCAAGGCATGTTATCTTGGGATTGCTGGATGCCACAATTAGCAGTGGAAAGGAGTCCCCACCTCGTCCCTTCTTCACCATCTCAAGAGAGCCTAAGAAAGGGAGATTTTTGGAGCATTCTCAGTACAGTACGTCGACCTCCGTTTCTAGGTCGCAGGTGGGAATGTGCAGATGATGGGGCAGAGGCAGGTGGTTCTTCCACTCTACCGCAAACCCCACTTGACACCAATCATAATAGTGTATCCCTCAGCCTCTCAGGGATACGCTACTATGATTGGTGCCTTTGGTAGCACTGGTGTGGCCCATTAATTCTTCCATCTAGCCTAGGATGAACATTGTGAAATGATCACATGGTCTTCTACCATTTCTCAATTCATTCTGTGTCATTCTGTTGGTTTGTGGGTTGTATCAATGGGTAAAATGTTTGGACTGTGGGTGTCTGGAAACATACCCAGACTTTCCACAATAATTCTTATGGAAAAAGATCCTCTATACACCTCTTTTACTGTAAGATGAGTTTCCCAGGCAGGTAACCTTGATGCAAATAAATGCTTTAATGGTTGTGCCAGAAGTCGCAATTAATAAACTTGGAATCTTATTCCTCTTCTCCTCAAATCCAATTCTAACATGAGTGTTTTCTCTAAGATGCAAAGTCCAACACATATGAATAATCTTTTC